GGACACACACCTTCCAAAAAGTTCAGCTTTTGTCTCGTCAGTCCAAGAGTATTTTTGGAGAAAAATACTCTGTATTTTATATACAGAGTATTTTTCCAAAAGTCTTGGGGATCATCAAGATGTTTTCTGGCAAAACTGAGACGAGCCTTTTTGTTCTTTTCGTGGCAAGAATCCACAGTCAGAAAGAGAAACAGACAGAGAAGGAGACCAGCTCCAGTCTGTGCCTGTGAACATTGGCAACAAGGTCATGTGCAGGAATACACATTTACTATGTAATGTGTAGTTCTATATCCCATGTGTCTCTTATGCTCACCAAGGCTGCATTTAATTAATCAAAAATACAGTAAAAAGGGATATTTTGAATTATTACAACTTTACAACTTACACAATTACTGTTTTCTGTTTATTCTTGTGATGTCAAAGCTGAATTTTCAGCATCAATTTCTCCAGTCTTCAGTGTCACATGATCCTTCAGAAATCCTTCTAATTTGCTGATTTGCTACTTAAGATATAATTCTTATTATTATCAATGTTGAAAACATTTGTGCTGTTTCAAATTTTTGTGGAAACCATGATATTTTCCCCATAAGATTCTTTGATGAATAAAAAAGTAAAAACTTAAAATAAAATTGTAGCATTATAGATAAGAAATAGCTTAAATGCATTTTTTCATTTTAATCAAAAACATAACTAATATATGAGATGTGTCTAAATAAAATACTTAAATTGCTATAGGAAAGCATTAAGTTAGGTTTACACTAAACTGTAAAAATTTCCACCTATAACTCAGATCAGTTTAAGTTCAGTTTCTGCCTTAAATTTTTAAGTAAAATCAAACTGGGTGTACAAGTTATTTCAACTTAAATTATATTAAATTGACTTAGAATTCAGTTGAACCTGAATAACCTGAAAGTTTCTTTTAAAAGTAATGCATTGCAATATTTCTTTAGTCCATAAAAAACGAATTGCATTACTTAGTTACTTTTTGTGGAAAGTAATGCATTGTGTTTATTTTGTGTTACTTTTTGTCACCTGAGCTGGGCTTGCTTATTAATTTTTAATAACAAAAAACCCAAAAGTTATATTTTTTGGCAACTGTAAAGGCCCAAAAGTGAAATTAATAAGCCTCAGCCTGAAAGAAGTGCCTCTGCACTTACTCCCGATTTCCATGAGAGGTGTCAGTGAATAAATGTGAAAACAAAGTAACTTGTGTTACTTATTTGAAAAAAATAACTAAGTAAGCTTGAATAAATAAGCTCACACATACACACAGAGATGAGCCGCACTTAATTCCTGTAAACACTGGCACTAGGACACTAGACAGGCCTTCAGAAACCTGGAGATTCATTTGGAAACAGCACAGGTTGGGTCTATTTTGGACATGGTGCGCTAGTCTATACTCATGTGCATTTAAATATTAAATCATCACAATCTGACCCTTTTTTCCCCAGAGTCTGACAGAGTTTAAAATTATGTCCTCTGAGAGAAATGGCAGAGCAAATCAGCAGATGAACGTGTTTCATCGCTTGGAAAATCAGTGTGAGAAAAATGTCAAACATTTAAATCGACAGGGCACAGCTAGCCTCCATCAGAAGGACCCTGTACAATCACAATCAAATATTAATATATTGCCATGGAGAAAAGTCTGACCACAGAAATATGGGATTCAGACATGAAATTGAAACCTATAGGCTACACTCTAAAAAGTGCTGGGTTATTTCTGTAAACACATTTTTGGGTTAATTGTGCTGGGTCATAATTCTGGGTTGTTTGAGGTAATGTAAACACACAGTTGGGTTGCTCATGCTGGGTCAAATGGACTGTAAGGGGTTTTTTCACCACTGAACAGCTGGGCTGGGTTAGTTTGACCCAACAGGTTTATTTATTTTTCCTCTTTATCGAACTTGCTGGATTCTTCACTCGTCTCGTCGTCAGACGGTCACGCACATCGCAAGCATTGTTATAAGGTAAGTTAATATGATGATATGATTATTTACCTCTATTCTTAATAAGTTGTGGTAAGAACACACCGATTTCTCTGTTTAATGCATTTGATCTGTCGCTGTGCGGGGTAGCGTTATTCTGTGAATGATTAAGTAGCCACCTAGCGAGGTTTTTTAAAATGGCCGTTCCTTTGACCTCATGATTCTCATTTTCTCTGACATGCACTGTGAGCTGTAAGGTCTTATATAGATAGGTGTGTGGCTTTCCTAATCAAGTTCAATCAGTATAATCAAACACAGCTGGACTCAAATGAGGGTGTAGAACCATCTCAAGGATGATCGGAAGAAATGGACAGCACCTGAGTTAAATATTTGAGTGTCACAGCAAAGGGTCTGAATACTTAGGACCATGTGATATTTCAGTTTTTCTTTTTTAATAAATCTGCAAAAATGTCAACAATTCTGTGTTTTTCTGTCAATATGGGGTGCTGTGTGTACATTAATGAGGAAAAAAAATTTACTTAAATGATTTTAGCAAATGGCTGCAATATAACAAAGAGTGAAAAATTTAAGGGGGTCTGAATACTTTCTGTACCCACTGTATATATAACTTTAATTAACGATAAGGCGATTGTATATATATATATACTGTATATGTGTGTGTGTGTGTGCGTGCGTGAGCTCGCGCAAATTATTAAAACGCTTCATGGAAATGGTATGAACTACGTCAGAAATATGGGGGTAAATTCAGTTACTGTCTGCCTAAGTTACCTCTATGGCTTTGTAATGTTTTGCCAGAATTAGACCATTTCGTACTAAAATTGTAAAAAAAAATTTTCAAATAAATGTCTGCGACATGCCGAATCAGACGATAGATCCATCATTTTTATGTTGAGCATTTTCGCGCTCTTTTTTCCTCAGGTAACGTTATGCCCCTTACTTTTATAACGTTAAACCACGATATTACTGGTATGTAATATCATGTGTTACTTAAATGTAATGTTGTTTTAGCTACAGTATGTAAAGTTAGACTTAATCTTTCGTGGTGTATGTATGAGGTCCTTTAATCTTCCTCTATTTTAGTGAACGCTTGTATTGCTTTACATCTAGGAGACCAGTATAACAATTTAATGAAAATGCACTCTGATTTAATTTTTTAACAGTGTGTCGATTCTGCCCTCCAGATTGGAGACTAGATTGACATAAACTCAATTCAGTGGTGAGATGGCTAGCTAGTAGTTCTGTATAATGTGGAATCATCATTTTAAAATCATAGCATGCAAGAACACCCTGTTTGACAAACGTTTTCTTAATCTGAAATTATATTCTAGGTATGTGAGATTCTTGCTGGTGCAGATGGACAAGGAATGGTGGCTTGACACCCTGGCTGACATCTTTAAAGGTTATATCTAACATGAGCCTCTCTTGTTTTCTTTCCTAACACGTGCTTACTCTCAAGCCCATGTAATATCTTAAACCCTATTGGATTATAGTTGCGTTTGTTTTTTGTTTTCAAATTTGATCAGATTTCAGGAGACTTTAGGAAGCTATATCCAGAGGCAGACAGAAAACTTTTTGAAGACTGGACTAACGTTACAATTGTAGACCGAATTCTTGCCTATGCCCAGTGAGATGGAAAGCTGCATTTAGAGCTGGATGACATGACTCCAGGTAAGCTATTTCTTATAATATATCAATCTATAAAAACAAAATTCAACTGTATTTGACAAATATCAACTGGTAAATACAGTCATAACACTTTAGTATAGGGACTAATTCTCACTTTTAACTAGTTGCTTATTAGCTTGTATATTGGCTGTTAATTCTGCATGAGCATATTCTACATCCCTGAATCCTACCCCCATACCTAAACTTAATCGCTACAACAACGTTAAAACACAAAAGTCGTAATTAATAGTGAATATGTGTTCCCCATACTAAAGTGTTACCAATGCAGCTTTGTTGTTACCTTATCATTGAGAAACTTTCCACTAATGTTGGGCTGTTGCTTACCAGCCTGAAGCATTTAGGCCCTCCATAAACTAGCTCTAAAAATGCCACTAAATGGCTTATTATTATTATTATTATTATTATTAATAATGTTTGGTCTTTACTCCAGTATCCTTTCTGTTATTTCTCCTCTTCCTCTCTGCTTTTCTTCGCTTGCTCTGTCTTGCCACTGTTGTAGTTCCAAACATATGTCCTTCTTGCATAACCTATATTTAGCACAAAAACTCTTAGTAGTTCTCATGAATTTAAAGGTGTAGAACCATCTCAAGGATGATCAGAAGAAATGGACAGCACCTGAGTTAAATATATGAGTGTCACAGCAAAGGGTCTGAATACTCAGGACCATGTGATATTTCAGTTTTTCTTTTTTAATAAATCTGCAAAAAATGTCAACAATTCTGTGTTTTTCTGTCAATATGGGGTGTATATTGACCTTCTGTTATTTCTCCTCTTCCTCTCTGCTTTTCTTCGCTTGCTCTGTCTTGCCACTGTTGTAGTTCCAAACATATGTCCTTCTTGCATAACCTATATTTAGCACAAAAACTCTTAGTAGTTCTCATGAATTTAGAAACATGATGTTGGTATCCTCAGTCAGTTTACTTTAATAAAAAATATATATTGTTTACATGTAAAGGCTGCAAATTTTTTTATATTCTTTAAGATTAACCATATTTAAATTCATTAGTCAACAGTATTTTGTCCTTCAAATTCAAACAGGTGCACAGGCGTAGTTACATCCAAGCTATTTAAAGGAATAAAGACATTTTTACAGGAAAAAGTGTTTCAATGTGTCGTTTTGATTATGAGATCAGTTTCACAGTTTACACTGTATTATTATTATGGTTTAGATGCTAAAGGGGAGAGTGCTTTCAAAGTCCTGCCCACTCTGCTTCCCCCATCAATATACAAGAAAGGCGGAGAGGTCTTCAGACCCACAACTACGGAATCCCGGAAGTCATTCATTGACGTCCAACCTGTGAGTTTTGTTTTACTTTTTCTACTCTAATAAGGGTAGATATATAGACTACCAGATTTTTTATGTTTTTAAAGAAGTCTCTTCTGCTCATCAGGCCTGCATTTATTTGATGCAAAGAACAGCAAAAACAGTACAATTTTGAAATATTTTTACTATTAAAATTCCGTAACTTTTCTGTTTTTCTGTCATTACTCCAGTCATATGATCCTTCAGAAATCATTCTAATATTATATATATAACCATATTCTGATTTGCTGCTAAAAAAACATGTATTACTGTTATTTATTACACAATATTACTGTGTTTTGGATCAAATAAATGCAGGCTTGGTGAACAGAAGAGACTTCTTTAAAAATCATAAAGATTCTTACTGTTCAAAAACTTTTGACTGGTTGTGTATATATATATATATATATATATATATATATATGAGGTCAAGCGTTTACATCCCCCTTTCAGAATCTGCAAAATATTAATTATTTTACCAAAATAAGAGGGATCGTACAAAATGTGTGTTATTATTTATTTAGTACTGACCTGAATAAGATATTTCACATAAAAGATGTTTAGGCTACATATAGTCCACAAGACTAGAGAAAATAATAGTTGAATTTATAAAAATGACCCCTTTCAAAAGTTTACATCCATTTGAACCCTTTCCAACAATGACTGCATGATTTTGAGATCCCATCTTTTCACACTGAGGACAACTGAGGGACTCATATGCATCTATTACAGAAGGTTCAAACGCGTACTGATGCTCCAGAAGAAAACATGATGCATTAAGAGCCGGGGGTGAAAACTTTTGAACAGAATGGAGATGTGTACATTTTTCTTATTTTGCCTAAATATATTATTTTTTCATTTAGTGCTGCCCTTCAGAAGCTACAGGAGATACTTAAATGTTTCCCAGAAGACAAAATAAGTTACATTTACCCTGATCTTCAAATTCAAATAGTTTTCATCCCCGGCTCTTAATGCATCGTGTTTCCTTCTGGAGCATCAGTACGCATTTGAACCTTCTGTAATAGATGCATATGAGTCCCTCAGTTGTCCTTAGTGTGAAAAGATGGATCTCAAAATCATGCAGTCATTGTTGGAAAGGGTTCAAATACACAAAAATGCTGGAAAACCAAATAATTTGAAGAAGCTGAAGTATTTTTCTGAAGAACAGCAGGCAGTTTAACTGTTCAGGACAAACAAAGGACTCATGAACAACTATCACTAAACAAAAAAACACAGCTGTGTATCATTCAGGTAACAATACAGTATTAAGAATCAACAATTGAACGGGGTCATTTTTATAAATTCAACTATTTTCTTTTGTGGACTATATGTAAAATATCTTCTTCAGGTCAGTACTAAATAAACAATAACATGCATTTTGTATGAGTCCTCTTATTTTGGTAAAATTTACATTTTGCAGATTCTGAAAGGGGGATGTAAACGCTTGACCTCCATTGTATATGATTATATATGATTTCCATAAAATACTCTTAACTTGTTTGTTATGTTGCAAGACTAAGTGTCGTATAATTAACAGGTGGGGACCAACATGGTGGAAAACTTGCAAAATGCAGAGACTAGTGATGCATTCCTGCACATTTTGTGCCTTGAGGACAAGACAACGACATCCCAGACCTTCGTCATTGTTTCGGGCTATGCCATTGAAACGGACTCATTACTTGAGGCTGTTGACCTTTTTTGTGCTTTATGTTAACTACATTAAGCAGTGTCTTCCTACCTGAGAATTTCTCCAGCATGCAGTATATCATCAGGGCAACAGTTTTTTTCTGGCCACCTGTAACATGTTTCATATTTTGTGTCACATGTATTGTCTGTTGTAGGACTCTTTGTTTGGATTAGTTTTAATGACACAATATTTGGACTGATTCTCGTGTGGCAATAATACATTTTTGAATGTTCTGATGATGCAGTGTTGACAAAGAATAGGAATCTACAGTGCCTAGTTTACACAGTTTTGTGTTTTAAAGAAACTGATCTATAAATACTTGTTTTATTTGTGTCTGTAAGGGTTGGATGAAATGTGTGACAGCATCCATTCACAAATTGTTTTAAAAAGAAATGTGAAAACTCATTCAATTGATATTTACAGTTGCATTTTTTGTTAAGTAATTGTATTACAGAATAATAATAATAATTTTGCATTCCTTTGTGATCGTTATTTATTATTATTGGTAATATTGGTAAATATAAAGCTAGCAAGGCAATAAGACAACAAATAACCAAATATTTAGGTAATGTTTAACCCAGCAACACAGTTAACCTTACCCACTGGTTGGGTCAAATAAACAACCCAGCATTTTGGGTAAAATGGTTAAACCCAGCACTTGGGTCAAAACAACCCAGCGCGTGTTCTGTCCCATAGTTACCCAGCAGCTGGGTTAAGGTTGGGTTATTTTTTAACCCAGCACTTTTTAGAGTGTACCAAAAATGTACAAAATAAGAAACATTATATTATGTAATTTTGTTGTTTTTCTTGGTTGCTAATCAAATAAGCACATTTATTACACTGATCATGTGACTCTTTGTATAGAGAGTCAGATGTTTTTGCTTACATTGATGTACAAGATGCTCTTTAGATAATCTCAGTCATGATCATAGGTGGAGTTCAAATGCTGGTGCCATCAAATAAATTAATTTGATAATTTAAACTTTTCACTCAAATGTTATGATGATACTATAATTTATCATGGAAAAAATTAACTGCATGCGCTTTTAAAAATTTCTGTCCTTGTTCAACATATGGGGGATATTGATATATATATATATATACAAGGAGGGTAAGCCACAAACATTCATTGCCAAAGAAGCTGGCTGTTCACAGAGTGCTGTATCCAAGCATGTTAACAGAAAGTTGAGTGGAAGGAAAAAGTATGGAAGAAAAAGATACACTGAGAGAACCAACTGAGAGAACCGCAGCCTTATGAGGATTGTCAAGCAAAATCGATTCAAGAATTTGAGTGAACTTCACGAGGAATGGACTGAGGCTGGGGTCAAGGCATCAAGAGCCACCACACACAGACGTGTCAAGGAATTTGGCTACAGTTGTCGTATTCCTCTTGTTAAGCCACTCCTGAACCACAGACAGTGTCAGAGGCGTCTTACCTGGGCTAAGGAGAAGAAGAACTGGACTGTTGCCCAGTGGTCCAAAGTCCTCTTTTCAGATGAGAGCAAGTTTTGTATTTCATTTGGAAACCGAGGTCCTAGAGTCTGGAGGAAGGGTGGAGAAGCTCATAGCCCACGTTGCTTGAAGTCCAGTGTTAAGTTTCCACAGTCTGTGATGATTTGGGGTGCAATGTCATCTGCTGGTGTTGGTCCATTGTGTTTTTGAAAACCAATGTCACTGCACCCGTTTACCAAGAAATTTTGGAGCTCTTCATGCTTCCTTCTGCTGACCAGCTTTTTGAATATGCTGATTTCATTTTCCAGCAGGATTTGGCACCTGCCCACACTGCCAAAAGCACCAAAAGTTGGTTAAATGACCATGGTGTTGGTGTGCTTGACTGGCCAGCAAACTCACCAGACCTGAACCCCATAGAGAATCTATGGGGTATTGTCAAGAGGAAAATGAGAAACGAGAGACCAAAAAATGCAGATGAGCTGAAGGCCACTGTCAAAGAAACCTGGGCTTCCATACCATCTCAGCAGTGCCACAAACTGATCACCTCCATGCCACGCCGAATTGAGGCAGTAATTAAAGCAAAAGGAGCCCCTATACCAAGTATTGAGTACATGTACAGTAAATGAACATACTTTCCAGAAGGCCAACAATTCACTAAAAATGTTTTTTTTTATTGGTCTTATGAAGTATTCTAATTTGTTGAGATAGTGAATTGGTGGGTTTTTGTTAAATGTGAGCCAAAATCATCATGATTAAAAGAAACAAAGACTTAAACTACTTCAGTCTGTGTGCACTGAATTTATTAAATACACGAGTTTCACAATTTGAGTTGAATTACTGAAATAAATGAACTTTTCCACAACATTCTAATTTATTGAGATGCACCTATATATAAATCTGGCACACTTTTTGAGCTTCCATGTTTATTATTAATTATTAAAAAAAAGAAAAAGAAAATTGAGTATTTATAACTTTTCAAATGGATGCAGTCAGGGACAGAGTGCACGCATATGTATTTTAAGTTAAGAAGAATCATGAATATTTCTATTCTGCTGTCATTATTGACCTGTGATTGAGGAAGGACAAAGTCAAAACCTATTCAAGTTTGCAACTGATGTAATATCAAATTTAGCATCTTAGTGAAATGTACTTTCTGTTAACTGTTTACCACACATGTTAGAAATAATATTTCTAAGTGCTCCATTTATTTAACACATAACTGTATTGGTACACTAATTCTTTGAATGGAAAAAAGCGACATGAACATTGTGCTAAACGTGTTCCACAGAAGAAAAAGTTGTTTACATTTGCAACAACATGAGGGAGATTAAATGTAGACATACAAAAGCATTTTGACTTGTACTCGAATGGATCTTACAGGGTGCACACACAATCACAAATACACCATGAAATCTCTTCATCAAAAAACAGACCACAATAACCAGCAAGCACACATGCATGGATAAACACATCCTCAGATCCAGGGTCTACATGTAAAAAAAAATATTTATTGTATCTTTCCACAACTGGTGAGTTCAATAAGCAAAGTCCATATTAGTGATTGCAGCGACTTCTTTCCATTCCCACACCCACATGACAATAGTCTGACTAAATTGATTGCATTGTAAACAAGTGAACTTAATGAAAAATCTCTTATCAGGGCCAATGCACTTGTCGGCGGGGACCACGCACCCATAATATAGCAATTCAATTTTTGCAAATGAATTATTCCAGGCAATATTTTCTCCCATTAGCACAGCACTACATCCATTATGTGTCTGAGGCCACTACCTCTCTCAGTGTAGCAAAGTCAGAGAGAGCCCACACAAATGAACACAATGTGAGATTAATTAGTCAAACGAAGTCTTACACACACACACACACACACACACACACACACAGAGGTTTTGTAACTGAAGCAAATGTCCACAGGCTCAGATATCACAGATACTGTTATATTCAACCTTTGGTCGGCAAACATTGTAAAAAAAAAAACTTCACTTTCACTTTTATTACACTCATTTGCAGTGTACACAGAGGGAAGAACAGCAAAGTTTGAGGCTATTCATAAAAACTTCCACAATTCAGATTTTTTTTTTCTAATTTATGTTTGCGAAATAATAAACACTTACTTTTAGATTAACAGAAATTCTGTTTTTCAGAAATTTTAAAAGTCTGCAAACATCCACTATATTGTTTGTATGGTATCATTTGGGCATGCTGCAGATTGATTTGATTCATTTTTATTATGGTACACTCTAAAAAATATGCTGGGTTAAAAAGGGACAAACCCAGCTATTGGGTTGTTTTGACCCAGCGGTTGGGTTCAAAACAACCCAAATAGCTGGGTCAAAACAACCCAATAGCTGGGTTTGTCCCTTTTTAACCCAGCGCTGGTTTATATTTAACCCAGCATTTTTTAGAGTGTAGTATTCATTTCAAATAAACCAGTGTTCAGCATTCTGCTTATATTTTTTAATCAAGTTTTGTCATAAAAGTCTTTTCTGGGCGACAGTTTTTACAAAATTATTATATATTTTTAGTGATTAGTAGACAGAAAAAAAATGTTGAAAAATATTTACACTTAGAAATTGCTTATATTTCACAAACAATTACAAAGAAACAGCAAGAACAACATTGAATAAAATGTGAAATTTTGAAATAGAAAATATAAAATGTTCCTCAATAATCTGCTTTATTTAATTTTTTTTTTTTATAGTGTGTGTAGGTTTCTCATAATTATGAGGAACTTTCTTGTAATTATGACAAGTATCTCATAATATTGAGAAATATTCTTGCCCTAGACAGAAAAATTTTTTTTAAAAATATTTACACTTAGAAATTGCTTATATTTCACAAACAATTACAAAGAAACAGCAAGAACAACATTGAATAAAATGTGAAATTTTGAAGTAGAAAACGTCAAATGTTCCTCAATAATCTGCTTTATTTAATTTCTTTTTTTTACGGTGTGTAGGTTTCTCATAATTATGAGGAACTTTCTTGTAATTATGACAAGTATCTCATAATATTGAGAAATATTCTTGCCCTATCTCAAAATATTAAGAAACAATATCATAATGACTTGATGACTTGATTGTAACAATGTAGACTAAGATCTAATATTGAGAAACTTTCTCACAGTAATGACTTGATATCTCATAATAGTACAAAAAAAAGTTTTTACTATTATGACTTACAGCATGCTTATGCAGATGTGGCCATGCATAAGTCTTTATCTGCATTACAATATGATATTGACCTTGAAATATATGGTATATGATATTGAAACAGCTAAATCGTTCTGAGAAGCACATAATCATCTAACATATATTTATTAGTTGTAAATAGAGACCTGTCTCCAAATCCATATAATTTCCATTCTATGAACAAATTGCATATAGATTGCACCAGAAAACTACAGAACAAAGTAAGTTATTTGTCATCTGTCTTGGAGTGTAGAAGCTGTCAGTCGAGTTATTGATTTCCGTTTTTTGGTCCAAAGTTGACACAAGTCGAGTTGTGACGTTGTTACATCATGCAGAAATTCATGCATCTCTACGACATAAACATCTCTATTGCAAGATCCAATTTCACTCTTTTTAGCCAACCGTCTAAATATATAACTGCTGCAAATGAGGCCATATATGTGTATTTCACATGCAATAAGTCATAATAATGAGAAAGTTTCACATCATTATATTATGAAAATACTATTTCAGTTTTTCTACTTTAAAAAATATACAATTATTTGATATTTCTCAAAAGGATAGGATAACAACTGTATACAGTGGCAAAAAAAGTATGTGTTGGTT